CTCTCTCTCTCTCTCTCTCTCTCTCTCTCTCTCTCTCTCTCTCTCTCTCTCTCTCTCTCTCTCTCTCTCTCTCTCTCTCTCTCTCTCTTCTCTCTCTCTCTCTCTCTCTCTCTCTCTCTCTCTCTCTCTCTCTCTCTCTCTTTCTTTCTCTCTCTCATTCTCTCTCTCTTTCTCTCTCTCTTTCTCTCTCTCTCTCTCTTTCTCTCTCTCTCTCTCATTCTCTCTCTCTCATCTCTCATTCTCTCTCTCATTCTCTCTCTCTCTCTCATTCTCTCGTTCTCTCTCTCTTCTCTCGTTCTCTCTCTCTTCTCTCGTTCTCTCTCTCATTCTCTCGTTCTCTCTCGTTTGGTCTCTCTCTCTCTCTCCCTTGCTCTCTCTCTCTCGCTTTCTCACTTGCTCTCTCTCACTCTCTCTTTTTTGCTCTCTCTCTTTCTTTTACTCTCTTGCTCTCACTCTTAAACTATAGGTAAAAGAGTTATTGAAAAATATAGAAATGGCAGGGAAGAAAGACACAGAAGAATGGAAGAAGGAAACTTGTAAGATAGGAGTGAGGGGAAAGGAGTAGTGAGGAAAGGGATGTAAAGAGAGTGAGAGAGTGCGAGAATGAGAGGGAGAGAGAGAGAGGGAGAGAGAGAGAGAGTACAAATCTTCACCAACTTTGATTTTTTTTCTCTTTTTCAGGTTTTGTAAGTGAAGTACGAGACCTGACGAAAAGAATCCGTACAGTCTTGGTGGCAACGGCGCAGATGCGAGAACATGAGCGTGACCCAGAGATGCTTTGTGACCTGCAATACTCTTTGGCTGCCTCCTACGCAGCCACTCCTGAACTTCGCACCACGTGGCTCCAGGCTATGGCCAAGCACCACATCAAGAATGGGGATCTCTCTGAGGTTGGTGCTATTAGGTTTGCTTAGGAGTTTATCATAGCAGTTTTTCTCTAGATGTGCCTATCTTGGGACATCTGCCCGAGTGTTTCTTTTTTGTGATGATTTTTTCATATTTTGTAATCTTCAGGTACCTTGAAAGCTGTAAAAAAGGATATTGTAAAAACTTTTGTTTATGGTAACTTGTTATTAACTTTTTCTCCATTATTTAAGGTTATAATTTCATTAAGAAGGCTGTGAGTGACCTGGACCAGATAAAGCAACCATTCAGCATTTATGAAATAATTGTTAAATTGACACATGATATTCCATCCAGGCTGCTTTCTGCCAGCTTCACATAGCAGCTCTGATGGCTGAGTACCTTCGACACCAGGGCAGTTTCCCTGAGGGATGCCAGGTGTTCTCTATTATATCAGAAAACATCCCCCGAGATGAGTCGAATTTGAGGCTTGATGCAGGTAAGTGTGTTCCAATATCTGTCCATTGCATTTTCACATGCACACTCACTTTGTTGTTTTGTATTTTGCACGCTTACAAGCTGTAGGTTGGTTAGCGTGACATCAGTGGTTTGCTACAATCAGTGGGTCGTTATGTGCACTTCGTTGTATTTGATAATGATTTACTTGTAATAGTTTCAGTTTTCTGTTGCAGCTGTAAGCTCAAGTCACATTCATACATCTGGCACTATAGCATAACGTATGGTGTGGTGGATGTGCATACATGTACACACACTATATTTTGATAGAGTATTTCACAATAGTAGGTATGTAGTAAGGGGTATGAGAAGAGATCCTGAAAAAGTCTTTTATTCCAGTAATATGCTAGTACAGTAGGTTTTGTGGCTTACCCTCCATTATACAATATAACAAAGAGTGAGGCAATGGCTTTCCTGTCTTCACCACAGATTCGACTTTCACACACTTTGTGCATCACTATTAATATGTGAATTGTACACTTTTGATTTCTTATGGGGGCACTATGTAGTTCACTCAATTCAAAAAGTGCTTTTCCATCGTGTGATAGGTATGGGAGCAAATAGCTCTTCATCATATGATGTATGTTGCAGTCGTTGGTTTAAGAGTTTACAAACCTTAGAAGCCTAGATAGAGTGCTGTACATATTCCCCAGTTCACTGACACGAGGTGACATAGATTTATGTATAAAATGAGAATTTAGGAAAGGAGGGTTAGGAAAAGTAGTAAAGGAATGGTGATTTTAGAACTTATTATTTTACTTAACCAGACAGAAGGGGTTAATTTGTTGAAAATTGTATGTATATAGTGACTGGGGAGCTGGCTTTTGTGATGCTGGTTAAAATTCATAATCCTAGTTGGCATAGTGGATCAAGAATGCTTATCATCTATTCCTAGTGCAGAGTTACAGGTATTTGAACATGAGAAACCTAAGAAGAATGCATTAGAAAGACTCTGTAGAGATAATTATAGTGAGCTTATATGAGAATATAGAAATATTAACCCATTTGATCTCAGACTATGTTTGTAGCTGTACAGGTAGGAGACAATGGGCCACATCTATGTATGTAAGGTTACATTATGATTACAATTTAAACAGGCAGGTAGACAGTAAGGGCTGCTGGATCATATAACATATGCAGTATCGTGCAAGAGGATTTTAGAAGTCCTCCCTAGATATGCAATGTGTGCCAATTATTATTCCTATTTTCTGTGTACACATTGTTAGTCTGGCTGACCCAGTAGAGAGTTAAAGAAAGGAAACCATTATAGGAAGAAGGGAAAGGCGGTGATACCTGGAAAGATTACTTAACATTATAAAACTAACCATCGAAAAAAGGAATTATTGCTTGACTCAGTTAGCCCACCACTTACATAGATAAGTTGATTATTAGCTAGATATATAGACATAGATGTAGATGATATGCCTGCCTATTTAGTGGAAGTTGGAAATTATAAATCTAACGTACCGCTTTATTAATTGACACACAAAGTGTATCTGCTGTATGTGCCACAGTGACAGGAAAGGAAGTAAAAAGCCTTGGTATATGTAATGTCAACAGCCAACATGTTTAGAGGTTAGTGTTCAAAGTTTTGTTAATTTCATGGACCATTAGTTAGCACAAAAGTTTTTATTTCATTTTCAAAAGGCTTGTATTGTGCTATCACAGGTGTTATGTCATTCAGCATTTTTGATTATTTTATGTTATACTTATGTTTGCTTTGACAGTGCTTTACAAATACATATTTATCATATTTTCATATGAAGCTGTTATACTGAGATTCAAAATTAGTTATTCCCAATGCTTGCTTAACAAAGTTTAGAATGAATATTATAAATAGGACATAATGTAATCATTTAGAGATGTTTCATTATAGCTTCAGTGACATAATTGTTGTTGAAACTCAGACTAAATACTTGAGTACACACATACGCTGTTGAAATTAAAAAAACTCACAGATCAGTAACTTTAAAGTATTATTTTTTGTACATATAGCACATAGCATTGCATAAGATTGTATGTTGGTAGGGACACTTAGCTTCTCTCTCTGCTGTACCTTATCTCTGCACTAGCAAAGGGCAAGCCTAATGTAAAAGCTTTGTGAAGTTAAAGAAGCTACTTCCTTAGTCCATTATCTGGCCAAAGCAGTATCCTGTCTATTGTATTAGCTTGTTTTAGGCAAGACTTAAGTACTGAGGGTAGATAAGGGTATGTTAGGGTGTTAGCAACATGGGTGAAAAAGAGAGGGCTCTTGCACAAGAATCAGCCCACTCAACTTATCGAGCTAGAAAATCTGTGCCTTAGAAATTTGTCAGTAATAAAAAAAAAAAAAAAAAAAAATAGCAGCAATGATTCCAGATTATCATCTAAAGTTAATGATCTTGAGATATATGTACCCAAATAGCTTTACAATTTTTATCCACGTTTGCAGTAGATCGTAAAATCAGGAGCTAGTTTATCTTAAGATACCATTGCCAGAATAGAAAAGCTCAAGCCAAGTTGTTAAATGGTGAAGAGAAGAACCATATAGTGTGTGTGTGTGATTTACTGGGACAAGGCCAAGGGAAGTCGTAGGAAGTCCAAGAGCCGTATGATTCACTCCATTATGCAGAGGTATCTTGCTCCCTCATCTCCCCCTCCCCCCCTCCCTCCCTCCCTCCCTCCCTCCCTCCTCCCCCCTCCCTCCCTCCTCCTCCCTCCCTCCCTTCCCTCTCTCCCTCCCTCCCTCCCTCCCTCCCTCCCTCCCCTCCCTCCCTCCTCCCTCCCTCCCCCCCCTCCCTCCTCCCTCCCTCCCTCCCTCCCTCCCTCCCTCCCTCCTTTCCCCTCTTCCCTTACTATCCGCTCTTCCCTCCTTTCCCCCCTTCTCCTAGCTCTTCCACCTCTTTCCCTCCTCCCCTTCCTTTCTCCATCTCTATATGAATGATTTTTAGAACTTGGGTATATACTAATTGTATGATTTTTCCCCCCAAAGAATTTTATGTAATTATTAAGTATATAAATTGCATGCATTCACTGAGATTGATTTTATCTAATATGATCTGCATTCTAGTTGATTGTTATTTTTATTATTATAACCTGATTATGGTTATGAATATTGCATGTTGGTAATGGTTATAGATATTTTAAAGAGCAAATTGAATCAATTTGATTACATTTTCTTTTGTTTTGCATAGTTTTTTCTTTTCATTTGCCCACAGGATATTTTTTTCTTTTTCTTGTATAACTTCTTCCTCTAACAGTTTGGTCATAGACTGTTTTCATGTAAATTTTGAATGATTGACAGACTCTCTTCATAAATAACTTGTGTTTCAGAAAATCAGTGCATGTCACAGGGATACAGGTAAAGAAGTATAGATACATATCTTACGAGATTTTGTTTTGTCATATGAAATATCCCTTCATATGAGACCTAGCTTTGCGTAGGTAAGGTAGAAGTTTTATTAATGTTTGCTGTTGTTCACCGTAGTACTTCTGCGATTGAATGAATAATGCCGAAGATGGTTGGGTAGCTTTGTTTTATTCCTGTTGAGATTTTTTGAGAATTATTGTTGATATGTCTGATTTTATATGGAAATTGGTAAATTTTCCTATGCATTGTTGTTTTTGTATCATTGCAATTGTAGGAGAATTTCCCATTTTTCTGTGTAAAGGGTAGTTATATATTTTAGACCTGTGTTATTGTTCATGATATCTATATAGGCATTTTGTATTGACACTATTATCAGTAAATCAGCAAGAAGAATGCAACCTATGAAACTTCTGCCTTGCATCAGTCTTGTATTATTTTACCATGGGCTTATGCAGTGTGTGTTTTGGACTTGCTACCTATAAATTTGCTAGTTATTGCCTTGCTTGTAGATTGACGATCAACATTATACTTAGCCTTCTATTACTCTAGCCCTGAATGATGGTCCTGCTTCTTTCGTAATATATTTTCCCATGCTCTGTCATGGCATAGGGTTATGTGCCTCCAAAATAGATCTTAAATGCCAAAAAAAAAAAAAAAAAAGCCCGACTTGAACTACAAGACGAGACGATGACTCTTCCCATTTCCAGTCTTTCATTTTTTCAGCCATTTCCATATTTGCTTCAACAGTCTTGATTCATTCTCTTGGTCTTTCCGTTTTAACCTCATCTTGTTATTTATGTGTCAAGTTCATGATGATTTGAATGTGATAAGGGGCAGAATTTCTATGCAAGATGCTAACCTTCCAAACAGCATAGCGAATTCATTTTTAAAGAATTATAAAGATATCTTGCCCTTGATACAACTGCTGTTTCATTTTCATGAATATGTAAATATGTAGGTATAAAGGTACTGTAAATATGAAGATTTCCATATGAATTTAATGATTTGTTAAAGATTAGAGCAACTTGTTTGTAATCTATTTATATTTTCTAGAATCATGATAATTTTATGATATATTATTAACATGTAAGTTGTATTTTAAGAACTTGTTATTGATTTATAGACTCAGCACAGTCCCCCCTCCCCCCTCATGTAATAGAGTTAGTTGCAGGGTATTACATTTGTCTGTTAATGTTTTTCAAATGATATACAGTATATAAACCCAATGCCACCGGAATAATGTGTTCACTGTAGTATTGTTTTGTGAGATGTCTCTGCACATAGAAGGCTCTGCAAGTGCTTAGCCACAAAGGAGTCAACTTGTAGACCTTGTGACCTCACTTGATTTCGACTTTCCTTGAGGTTGTTGGGAAAACTTTTTTTTTTTCTTTGCTAATGCTATCAATATTGGTGCTGTCATTTTTGTTACAGACATCGTAATTGCTATTGTTATTAACATTACAAACAGCAATATTAGATACCAAAAAATATTTTTGAAAAATAAGGGAAAGCGTAAATGGTGAGACAGGTAGTAGTCATAAGTGGCGTATTGGTGACTTAGTACTTGTGGAGCCATCTATGTGTAAAAAGAGTTACTAAATTAAACACATAGTTGGCATGGCATGTTTGCACATGCCATCCCTGGTGGCTTTGGGTTAATTTAGCATAATATATTATAGCTACTCTATTTCTGTAGCTTATAAAAGTTATTCTTGACTTGTCAAAAGAAATGAACCCAATGGCTTTCAAAAGATTAAAAAAAAAAAAAAACTTCTGGTGGATTGACTGAATTGTTTGTAGGTAGGTTATCAAAGTTGAACATGTGAAGTAAAACTTGGATGGCACATTGCAAATAAAGTTGGAGAGAAAAGAAAGAAAGAGAGTGATAGAAAGATATTAAGAGGCTTTTCAAAAATGTGTTAAGAGTCATGTTTAGATTTTTGTTGTATGTGACTCCATTGTAAAATGATTATTTGTTTTGGAATTAAGATACTTCAAAGTGGTTCATTTTCTTTTCAGTGGCTACTTAAGCAATTTCTCAATAGTGATATTGTTTTAACAAGTTTAAAAGGGTGTATTGGTTTCTTTATAAAGTTTGAGGATGTATGTCTCTATATACAGTAAAAAATCTATGATAATTTCTATATAAAAAGGACTAAAGATAAATGGTAGTCTAAAATAGAAAAAAAACAATAATGTAGTCTCCTCATAAAGTTTGAAAAAAAGACAAAACAAGTCATTGTTGTCACTTATTAAAACTAATTAGACAAAAATGTGTAGTCTCTCTTTAAAAACAAAAACAAAAACAAAAACAATCAATGTAGTCTCTTTATAAAAAGAATTAAATGATCTAAAGTAGTCTCTCTCAGTAAAGGACTGCGTCAATTTTGATGCCTGAAGCTTTTTTGATCTTGGCTGTTACTTATGTTCGCAATATCTTCTGTGGCGTTCCTGTTAGATGTTGCATGCTGCTCCCAGACTCTGCACTTCTACACTGGTAGGTGAACCATTTCTTAATCAGTGAGAAATATGTTGAGTTAAGCACGGCAATGTAAGGAGTATGTATTCATATTTTTCTGATGCGTTTTGTGTTGTTCTGAAATCATGAGGTTAGTTTTTATTCTCATTTTTGCATTTTTGCTCTTATTTGTATTTTGTTATATTTGTTTATTTGCATTTAAATTGCCAGTGATGAGAAATTATATTCTTTTCATGAGTACCATGGCTTCAGAATGCATTAGTGATTATTGCTTAACAACTCAAAATTTGACCGTAGCGTCTAACCAGCCTAAAATATGCTACATGATACAAGTATTAAAGTGCTGATTAGATGTGAAGACTTATTTTTCATGGAGAATTTTGAAAAGCTGGCTAGTTTTATAAAGACTCCTTTTTATTAAGGATTTCAGTGATATAAGTGTGGATAATGTAGGCAATGATAATTCATAGTAGCATAGATCTAGCTAGCTTTAAATATTACAGAGTGTAGTTGCTTAAACTGCATTGCCATGTAGTTGAACAGGAACTGAAAGTATTGACTTTCTATTTATAACTGCCCTGTATTTGATAGAGATTATTTCATTGAGACAGAATACACTTCAATGCTTATGTTTTCCTAGGAACTATTGTTATGGAAGTAATGAAAAAATGATTTGAAATGTCCATAAAAGGAGGAGGATGTTATTATTATATTGATATTGGTATGTGTCAGTTTTCAAAAAATGAAGTAAAACAAAACAAATTATAAATTTTGTAAGAAATGTGAGATGTTCAGTGTTTCCTGTCTGTGGTGTTAAGAGAATATTTTTGTTCCCTTTTTGTTACTGTCCGATTTAACAGAGATGTTTAGGGTGATGATTAATGGTATCAGCATAACTTGTATTAGCACATCAAGGCAGAAGATGTGAGATCACTGAGATTTTTACCACTCTTTTGCAACAAAAGTTTGTTCTGTGTCTTGACAGAAATTTAGGTAGTAGTCATACATTTTTTCTCAGGCTATGTTTTCGTTTGATCAAGATATTTGCAGGAAACAAGAGATTTTCAGTAAGTAGGACTAGATAAGATTCTATACTATGCATGTGTCTATAGAGTTAATTACTTGTAAGACATCAGATAAGGAATCAATAGGTGCTGAAGGATACAGATCTTCCCATGCAAGTGAGTAGGATGAAAGCCATGATGTAGGCCTTTCCTACATGATAGACTTAGTTATCCAGGAGTGTGGCAATTGTGTGTAAAAGAAATCTGTTTGCAATGTCTTGCTCCTGTAACCTCTAGAGAACCCAGAGGAGTAATGAATGACGTTTGCACTGTTAATTGTTCAGCATGAAACTTTTTGAGCTTGAGGTAGGGTATAGATTTTTATTGGACAAGCATGCTGCTATTGTCCCCATTTATATCAATTGCTGTTGTGTTTATTCTTAGGAGTATACATTGAAATTAGATTTCTTAGTAACATTTTGATATGGATAGGGAAGTAAAGTGAAAACTGACTGCAAAGAGCCTCATTCAAAGAAGAAAGTTCAAGTACAGTAAGTTTTAGATCAGGATGCAGGTAGGCAAGGAAAAAAGTACAAAACTGGTAGCTGACGGAGATTTGTTCTAGTTTCCACGGGAATTCTCCTAGGACTAAGGAATGAAACACTTTATCATACATGCTATAGAGTACATGACCTAAAACTAACATAGCATAGAATAAGATAATGAATTGACACTACGTGAAAAATCTGCATTGTATTTTGTTAAGATTAAAGTCATATTAACATTCTGTCAATACTCCATCAGTTCCTGTTCTTGCTTTTAAATTGAAAATAGAAATGAGCTTCATTTGCTTATTACTTTGTGATAGTTTAATCATCTAATAATCCATAGTGATACATAGATATATGTGAGTGAGAGTGAGCGTGAGAGAGAGTGAGAGTGAGCATGAGAGAGAGTGAGAGTGAGAGTGAAATTGAGAAAGAGAAAGAGAAAGAGAAAGAGAAAGAGAAAGAGAGTGAGAATGAGAATGAGAGTGAGCTTCATTGGCTTATTACTTTGTGATAGTTTAATCATCTAATAATCCATAGTGATACATACATATGCGAGTGAGAGTGAGAGTGAGAGTGAAAGTGAGAATGAGAAGAGAAGGAGAACGAGAAAGAAGGAGAAGGAGAAGGAGGTGCGCGTGCGTGCGCGTGCGTGCGTGTGCCTGCGTGTGCGTGGTGTGTGCGCGTGTGTGTGCGCGTGTGTGTGTGTGTGTGTGTTTATGTGTCTGTCTGTCTGTTAGTCTGTCATATGGTGTTAGTGTGGCTTCTTGTATCCTTAATTAATCTTTTGTTATAAAAAAATCACTTTATATAAGTAGACTCTGTCCCATTAATGTAGTTTGCTTTTTAATATGCTTGTTGTAAATAGATTTTTCATTGGAGAAAGATATCTATATTTGGTGACAGATTCACACAGAGGAAAATCTACCATGCAATTACTTACTCAATGCAGCAACTTTGTCAAAGGAAAGCTAGGTTTAGCCCGATGCCCAAAGTGAACGCATACAGCCCAGCAGTCTCCCTTCCGAAAGAAGAAGAAAAAAAAAAAGAAATAAGAAAGTCCCATTTTGCAGGTCTAGTCGATACAGTCTTCACTATGGACTCCCTGATCAACCAGCTCGAGGTTGCGGGCGGGATGGTTGAGCGGGCGGAGAGGTTCGAGCTGCTAGGCAACCTCTATCGGATTCTCATCCCCATATACGAAGGACGGCGCAACTACCCTGCGCTCGTCCAGTGCTATTCTCATCTGTATCAGGTGGGTTGCAGTTTTTGTTATCATCACATTCACCATCTCCATCATCGTCATCATCGTTGTTGTCATTGTTGTTGTTATTATTGCTATAATAGTTTATTTTGCAAATTATTTTTGTTTAATGTATTATCACTGTTATTGTTAATGTTAATGTTACTGATATTGTTTATATTGCTTTTGTTGTTATTATTGGTGTGTGTTATTAGTACTAGTGTTATTGTTATTGTTATTTTTATTGATATTATTATATTTATTATTATCATTATTATTATTATTATATTATTATATTATTATTTTATTATTATTATTATTATTATTATTATTATTATATTATTATTATTATATTTTATTATTATTATTATTGTTTATTGTTATTGTTATTGCTATTGTTATTGTTCTTATTACTGTTCTCTTATTGTTATTTTTATTATTATTATTATCATCATTATTATTGTTGTTATTATTATTATTGTTATTATCATTATTATTATTATAATAATAATAATTATTATTACCATCATTATTATTGTTATAATTAATACTGATCTAATTGTATATAATTGTAGGCTTATTCCCGAGTGGTGGAGGTAAATGCTTCACAGAAGAGACTTTTGGGCCGTTACTATCGTGTGGCCTTCTATGGACCTGTAAGTGATAATTTTACTTTCTTTTTGTGGTTATTCATTCACGATATTTGCAGTAGATCCATGACTAGAAAAACAGCGTACAGTATGTATATATGGCATTACAGTTTATTCTATATGTATGTTATGTGTATATATATATTTTTTTCAAATGATTACTATCCGTCTGAAGATATTTCTTTTTTTCTTTCCTTTTTTGAAGAGTTACTTTGAGGATGAAGCTGGCAAGGAGTACATCTACAAAGAACCCAAAGTAACCTCGCTGGCAGAGATTTCAGAGAGACTCTACCACCAGTACTGCGATAAGTTCGGGAAAGAAGCCGTTAAGATGATCATGGATTCTAATTCTGTAAGATATTTGTTCTGTTGATTTTTTTTTTTTTTTTTTTTTTTTTTGATTGGTGTTAAGAAATCCTCAACTGCTTATGAGTTACAGTCTGTTGTGATTTGATATAAAGGTATGTAAATGTCTCATGAAGTCAGTATAAAACGTGCCTGTACTCAAATGTTTTTTTTTTTTGCTTGATTCACCTTTTTTTTTTCTAAAGTCAACTTATTTTATCTATTTTTTAGTCTATTAAAATTACTATTGGGCATAATATCAAGCTCTAGCCTGAATTATGTGAAATGGATAAATGAGATCTAATCTCTCTTTAACTTTTTTTTTTCATAAATTGATTTAGTTTTAGTGCAGCAACTATTGGGTATATTATCAAGCTTTAGGTTGAATGATGTGAAATAGATAAATGGGATCTAGTCTCTCTCTCTCTTTTTTTCTATAATTTTTCATAGGTTGATGTAATTTCAATGCACTAACTATTGGGTATAATATCAGGCTCTATTCTAATTATGCGGCATGGATAAATAGGACCTAATCATCTCTCTCTCTCTTTTTTTTCTTCTTTACTTTTTCATAGGTTGATGCTGATGAACTTGAATCACGCTACGCCTACATCCAGGTGACACACGTTAATCCCTATTTTCCTGAGGAAGAACGGAACAACCGGCAGACAGAATTTGAGCGCAACAACAACATCAACACCTTCATGTTTGAGACGCCCTTTACCCTGGAGGGGAAAGCCCACGGAAAACTGGAAGAGCAGTGGAAGCGGAGGGTTATTCTCAAGACAGATTACTTTTTCCCATACGTGAAGAAGAGGATTCAGATTGTGGAGACAGAGGTTAGTTTGCGGAGGATGGGGTTGTAGCTGGTGTAAGTGAGTGAGCTTGTGGTATGCTAGTTTTTGTTGGAGAATGTCTAGCAGAAATTGTTCAAGGACATTGTCATGGATTATTATTATTATTATTATTATTTTTTATAAATTGAATAGTCTTACAGACTGACATGAGTTTTGGTATCACATTTTTATATTTGGCCTTCAGGGATATTTTATTCTATTTATATTTTATTATTTTTTAAGCTAGGTTTCCTCTATGATTCTTAAGCTCCTCAATTATTTTTTGTTTTCAATAATTATTGTGCTGAGAAAACCTCTTAGTCATGTAAAGACATGTGTGCAGGTGTGTGTGTGTGTGTGTGTATGTTCACACTTATTCATTATTATCAAGTAAACAGTGAATTGCTATACAATATAGCAGTAAAGGAATCAAATTCTTGTGCTTAATTTTTGTGTTACATATTCTCTACCTTTTTTCAATTAATGTATATTTAATAAACTTATTTTACCATCTAACACACCTCTCCTGATACCAGGTGCTAGAAATGTCCCCCATTGAAGTTGCCATTGATGAAATGGAAAGCAGAGTCAAAGAATTGTTGGAAATCATTAATAAACATCCAACAGATGTGAAGAAATTGCAGTTGAAGCTTCAGGTGAGATACATGCGATGGTTAGAATAGATAA